CAGTATAGAACTTGTAGTTGGAAATGGGGGCCACGCTGAGCCAAGTACCTACCCTGTTGGCTTCACGCACAGGTCTCCCCGTGACAGATGTTCAAATCTCGCTCCCCACTCCTGTCCTGCTTCTCTCACCCTTCCACTGCCTTGGGTGCCTTTTCTCTCCTCCAGGGCATTGAGAAGGAAGCCAGGAGATTAGAACTCTAGTTTCACAGCTGCCACTTACAGGGTGGTCTAGGACAAGCCATTTTTCCTTTCTGAGCCCCACTTTCTTCATCTGTAAAGTGGAGACAAATAGCTACCTCTCAGGGTGCTGTAAGGATGCAATCAGAACTTGCATGTAAAAGCCCTAACATACGGTATTTCCTCTTTCCATGCTGTCAGGTGAGTGAAGTTCCTTTCTCTTCATATAAAGGGTCTGATACCAGGCAACCCAGGTTACTTCCAATCCTGTGTCACCTTAGATGTGGAAGCTGAAAGTGAGAATGTGTGTATAGAGTGGGGAGGAAGGAGAACCACATCATGAATGACTCTAAAAGGAAGAAAAGAGTGCATGAAAATAAGAGAAGTGCTTCCTTAAGATGTTAATGTAACATCAGACAGCTGGTTCCTTTCTTTCTTTCTCTTTTTTTTTTATCCTCACCAGAGGACATTTTTCCATTTTTTGTTCAGGTAGAGTGGGAGGGAGAGAGAGGAACAGAGAGAGAGAGAGAAACATCGATGTGTTCCTTTCACATCGAGTGGCTGCCACCCGCACAACCCACCAGGGCCGGGACAAACTGCAACCGAGGTACGCGCCCTTAGCGGGAACCGAACCCAGGTCTCTCAGGACCGCAGGCCGACGCTCTAACTGCTGAGCCAAACCGGCCAGGGCTGGTTCCTTTCTTGTTACAGATGAGGAAACTGAGGCTTGTGGAGGTTACACTGCAAGCGACAAGAGCAGATCACACTGCCAGAATCTTCCTGACCATGAGCCCTATATTGCTTATCTCCTCACCCCCCTTTTTTCTCCTTGGGGGCATTAGGATCAGTGATAAAGAGTGTGGGAGAAGGAACAAAAAGAGAGAACCTTCAAGAAGCCAAGACCTTTCTGCTAGACTTCATAAAAATTTAACATGAAAACTTTCACAGACTAGAAGACACATATTACATGCAAATAATATGCTAATCACATGCTAATCAAAAGTCTGGTCCTCAGAACTCTGAGGCACACCTGGCTGTAAGCCCTGAGGGAAATTTTTGAAAGACCCCTGGGTTCCAGGATAGGGCTGGTGGGGGTGGGGTTCATTTAGGGTGAGGTTATGGAGTTAGGATTCATATTAGGATTGGAGAGGAATCAAGTGTATAATTTGGGGTTAGGGTCAGGGTTAGTGCAGAGTCAGTCAAGGGTGGAAGTTAAAGCAGGATTCAGACTAGGTTGTGCTTTTATATAGGGGAGCCTAGGGAACTCTTAAATATTTTCACTCCTGCCTGGCCAGTGTGGTTCAGTGGATGAACATCGACCCATGCATCAAGAGGTCACTGGTTTGATTCCCAGTCAGGGCATATGCCCAGGTGGTGGGCCAAATCCCCAGTGGGGGGCCTCCAGGAGGCCACCAATTGATGTTCTCTCTGATTGATATTTCTCTCTCTCTCTAAAATCAATAAACAAAAAAAAATTTTACAGTAAAATAAATATTTGCACTCCCCTCTTCTCCCCCATCAGCTGCTTGTCCCCACCTCCACTGCTCCTTCTATGTCTTGTAGCACAACCTTCTCTGCCTACATCCTCTTCCCAACCACTTCCCAGTTTGGCTGCCTGAGGAGCTCAGGGTAAATCATCCCAGATCCCAGCCTGGGCCCCAGAATTTCCTCTTGAGGCCAGACACTTGGCTTTTGGCTTCAGGAGCACTGACTGGCCTTAACCCTACCCAGACCCCTCCTTGTGACAGCTGCAGGGGAAGCAATAAGGACCTGGTGAGCTGGCAGCTTCATTCCTGATCATGGGGAAAGAGCAACAGAACATGAATAAATTCATGGAGCTGGCCCCTCAGCTCCCTGTGAGCCAAGCCTGCTCCCCCCACCACACATACCCGCTGCCGCCTGCAGCCTGCTGGTCACCACAGCTCATAGACTGGCTGGGGATGGGAGGAGAAGGGAAGCTCCAGAGAGATGAGGGCTGAGGTGAAGGGCTCAAAAGAGGGCCATGATGAGTAAGAGATTGGGGTGGGGAGCAGAACAAAGATTGCCTCTGGTGAGTGGAGGGAGTGGGGAAGGAGAGGGGTGGCAGGACCTGGGGTCAATGGGGCTTGTTGATCGGGCAGGAGAGGCTGATGTGAGCCCTGGCCTGCTCTCTCTGATCCATCCATCATCCAGCCTGGGGGAGCAGATCTGGAATTAGACATGCACGGGCCGACATGGCCCTCAGCCCCCCGAGGAAGACAAATGGCGACAAAGACCTTGAATAAAATTTGTATTTATGGTTGGAGGAGGAGGCCCCTCCCCCACTGGCTGCCAATTCTTTCTTTCAAGCATGTAGGGACCTCCCCTTACACAGGCCCAGCCTCAGCAGTCTCCTTCTCTCTGCACCATTACAGGCTGGGAGAGGCAAGAAAGGAGTACAGTAAACAAGAAATGAGGAAATTACCTTCACCCAATAATCATGCTCTGGTGTGCCTTGTGCCCTTCATTTTACACATGGTATTCCTATACATTACAGTTCTGGCATATCCTAGTCTCTAAGAGATTCTTTCCAGCTGTTTGCCTCCAGGGTCTTCAAACATCCCCACTCTGCCAGTCCTGGAGCTCCTTCTCCAAGCCTCTGGCCCTGGGGTCCCTGTAAGCAAGCAATTTCTCCCAGAAGGGCCAGACCCTAAGGAGGAATGCAGTCACTAGCTTTTTCTCTGGACCCTCACACCTCACAGAGAGGGATCTATTGTGTTCCTTCTTAGCCACCTGGAATGGCAGACAGTCACCTCTCACAGGAGGCTGCCTAGCACTTAATCTGCATTTTGGTTAGGATAATTTGTATAACCAACTTCAAACCCCTCCTCTAAACATTTACTATACAGGGTCCAACTTCTCTGAGTTTCTATCTAATCATAGAACTATGAGAAAGGAGGAAGGAAAGTGGCAGGGATCCTAGGCTGGACAAAATCTGGATCTAGGGCTAGGCAGGGTAAAGGACAAGAGCTGCCTTCTGACTCTTTTCCCCAGTAGACTCTCTACTCTTCAGTGCTGAGATAGGAGAGATGGCATTCATAGGGTCCCACATTTAAGGACTAAGAGGAAGACAATACAAAACCTCCCTTCAAATAGCCCTCATACATACTCACACCAAGACAAAACAAACCACAATCCCACTCACCCAGGGACACACAGGGCAGGGTCCCAAGGCCATGTCCACACCTGCCAACACACTGTCACAATGCACAGGCCCAGAGCCTACCATTCGGCTGAAGAACCGCCCCGCCCCCCCCCCCCCCCCCCGCGTCTTCCCCACAGTTGATATGTCACATTGGAGTCCGAACACGGACCTGGGTGTCTCTCTGCAGCGCGCCATTTACATTTCTCTCTCGATCTGTCAACCTGTCTCAGCTCCCGTTTCTCTCTTTCCGTCTCTGTCTCTCCCTCTCCCCCTCTGGGGCTGTCAGTCTCTTTTCCAAGCTTTGTCTCTGTCTCTGCGTCTCTATCTGGCTTTCCATCTCTTTGATTTCTGTCGCTCCTCCTGCTTTCTTGTCGGTTTCCTGCTGGCTTCCACAGGCTGTTTTCTCACTCTCTCTTGCTCCTTCACCTCTCAGCGGCTCTTCGCTCCCCAGTACTAGGGATCGAGGATAGGGGTGGCTGGAGATTTGCCTTTTCTAGTTCAAGGCAACATGTACTATTGAACCCTTTACCATATGATATTCCGTCATGGGCACTGAAGGGTATGAGTTGGTGGATTTCTTTTTTCTTGCCTTTCTTGTTCGTTTGTTTGTTGGATTTTATTTTCCTTTTTCTTTCTTTTTTCTTTATTTGGGGGGCTCTTTTTAGCTCAGAAATTCACCTTTGTCTTTTCTGTGTGTGTATCTTGTCCCATCATTTATCCCATCGCTATTTCTAGCTTCCTCTGGGCTCTGGGAATACCCAACTCCGAGTAGAGGGTGAAAGTAAGGATAGATGGGAGCAGTGAACCCTTGCAGAATCAGCTCAGAGCCGAGCATCAACCGGGAGGCGGAGGGTCCGCTGGTGGGGGCCGCTGCCTGCCCCGCCCCCGCGCTTCCTGCTCTGGGCGCCAGGGGTCGCTCCTCCCCGGGCCGCTTATAGCTGCTCCCGGCGCGCGGCTGCTCACACCACCTGCACCGCCGCCCTGAGAGGGAGGAGAGGAAGGTTAGGGACGCAGAGAGTGAGTGCGCTACGAGGAGAGACTCGCGGGGCCAAGGCTCTAGCAGGGGCTGGGGCCGCGGCTGGGGTAGAAAGACGGGTCAGTGCTCTCCAAGAGCCAGACAGCTAACCTATGAGGAGGTCGCGTCCGGTGGGTGCCACCCTAAGCGCAGAGCCCGGGACGTCCAGGGTGCGGAGAGTAGTTCCTCTCCGGCCAAGAGAGATCTGTCTGGGTAGCCGGGGACCTAGGCTCCGCCATCCTTGAGAAAGAAGCTGTCCAGAGAGCAAGCATCCTAGATCTGTAAGAAACCAGCCGTCCGAGAAGCCGCAGATGTCAGGCGCCCGGGAACGTTAGACTGAACAGGAGGGTAATAGAGGACCACGGGCTCTGAACCGTCGAGAGCTGCCCTGGCCCAACCCACGCGGGACCTTCGCCTTGACGGAAGGTTTGGGGTACCGCACCGCTGAGGCGGGAGCCCGTAGGGGCGGGGGGGACCGGGTACAGCCGTCGGGGGGGTCCCGATCCAGGCAAAAGCCCGGCCACCGCCTCCAGGGCCCGCGGAAAGCCCCGAGCCTCCGCCACCATTGCGCCCAAGAGTGAGGAGGATCTGCTGGCCCTGGCTGCGTCGCGTCTGAGCCGCCGCAAGCGGGTGGCAGGCGCGGCCGTCGGGGTGGCCATGGTGCTGCTGCTGCTGGTGGCTATTCCACTGCTGGTGCACAGCTCCCGCGGGCCGGCACACTACGAGATGCTGGGTCGTTGTCGCATGGTGTGCGATCCGCATGGGCCTCGAGGCCCGGGACCTGACGGCACACCTGTTTCCGTGCCCCCATTTCCACCAGGCTCCAAGGGAGAGGTGGGCCGTCGCGGGAAGGCCGGTCTTCGAGGGCCCCCGGGACCGCCAGGTCCCAGAGGGCCACCAGGAGAGCCAGGCAGACCAGGTCCCCCGGGCCCTCCTGGTCCAGGCCCTGGTGGGGTGGCGCCCCCTGCCGGCTACGTGTCTCGAATTGCCTTCTACGCGGGCCTGCGGCGGCCGCATGAGGGTTACGAGGTGCTGCGCTTCGACGACGTGGTGACTAATGTGGGCAACGCTTACGAGGCAGCCAGCGGCAAATTCACCTGCCCCATGCCTGGTGTCTACTTCTTTGCTTACCATGTTCTCATGCGCGGCGGCGACGGCACCAGTATGTGGGCTGACTTGATGAAGAATGGACAGGTGAGATGTCCCTGCCCCACCCAGCCCCAGATTCACCGGGGAGCTTTCTTAAGTCTCTCTGCACTTACTGATTACACAACCGACCTCCTTCCCCAAACAGTATCACTGAATCCAGAAATGCCAGGCTGCCAGGTCCCAGGTAGTGAGTAGTGGGCAGGCAGGTATTCAGCTTGGATTTTTTAGGAAAAGGTAAAAAAAAAAAAAAAAAAAAGAAAACACTGGATCATTTACCATCAGCTCTATTGCTAGTCCCAGGGTCTGGGACCAATTTTAGAGTGTCCTTACACTCAGCTAATACTGAGTCAGTAGGCAGAGGTGAGAAATGATATGGTAGCTCAAGGGACAGCCAGGCAGCTTGAAGGAGCAGATTTGGAGAAGGAAAAAGGCAAAGGACAGGTTTGGAGGAGGAAAGGCAAAGCAGAGGATGTGGGGCCTAGTCCAGTAGACTGCACATCCTCCCTGGCAACATCTGGCCTCCAGGTTCTGCTGCTCCGTCTCTGTAGTCAGAACCAGAGTCACTGCTGCCTTGGCCAGGGAGAGTAGCCCCAAGGACTTAGCTGGAAGACCTGGACACACATAGAGGGAGTGAGACACCCCAAGTGTTGGGGCTGGGTTAGGTGCCTGGGCCACACAAGCATCAGGGGGTGAGGTTAGGATTTAGTGGTGACCTCTGAATGCCCCATGCGATTGGGTGGTGCTGACTATGCCCTGCTAAATCAGGCCTGTTCATCCTGGCTGTGTAAAACCTGGGTCCTGCTAGGTCACAGCACTCTCCTGTTCCAACACCAGCAGACACTGCATTGGGGTCTTCTCCCAGCAAGGCTGCCCGAGGAATCCAGGGAAAGGGAGTGAGAGTGTATGTGTGCAAGGGAGTGTGAGATGTGAGTGTGTCTGTGGGTGCCGGGGTGGTGCAAAGGTGTGAACAAAAACCGTGCCTATCTGCAGGTGGCACTGAGTAGGTGTGTGTGGTCTATGCGGGAAATCTGCGAGCAATGGAGGGGGCAGTGTGTATCTAGAGTGTGCCGGTTTCCGAGGGGGCTGGGCCTGCGTGGCTCCCACTCAGTATTGCACAGCACGGAATGGGCGCTGCGGGCCTTGAGCATGGTAAATAGTGATTAGAATAATGATAAATAATTAATGAGTTAATAACCAGCCCCCACAGGACAGGAAGAGGGGGATTTCGGGTGGAGCTGGTGGCGAGAGGGGACCAGCGATAGCAAGACTAGAGGGGAGGAGGGCTACCTTTTGGAGCAGAAGGCGACCAGAAGGCGACCCCCACGTGGGTGCACTGCAGAGAACTAGGAGGGAAATGGGCACCCCGAGGCAAGAATGTATCATTACACCTTCCCATTTAAGGCCAGCACCCTTGCACATTTATGACACACCTGTGCCCTATCACTTGGGGATAAGAATGCAAGTTGAGGAGGCCAGAGGGAGTTCAGAATCTTAGAAATTATCCTACAGGCTAGTTTTATTTTTTTTAATGATAATAATAGCCTTGTAGCGTTTTTAAAAAATGGTTTTATTGATTTTAGAGAGAGAGAGAACCATCTATGCGAGAGAGAAACATCCATCTGTTGCCTCCTGCACGCCCCCCACCAGGGATGGAGCCTGAAACCCATTCATGTGCCCTGACAGGGAATTGAACCAGTAACCTCTTGGTGCATGGGACAATGCTCAATACACCAAGCCACACCAGCGTGGGCGCCTTATTGCATTTTCTGTGCCAAGTACTATTCTAACACACTTCACGTGTAGTAACTTATTTAATCCAAATATTAGATTATTACCTCCCACCTTATAGTTCAAATTGAGGACCAGAGAAGGCATGAAACATGCCAGAGTCACACAGCTAGTGAATGGTGGTGCTTGAGCTAAGTGATCTCCTGGTTTCTCCTTGTCCTTCCCAGCCTCTGCAGCCAGCTTCACAGGCCCAGCTGCACTTACTCGACCCAACCCAAACCCTCTCATCACCACAGCTCTGCATAGGGAGTGAAGGGATTATTCTGTTCTTCCTTGGTAGGTCCGGGCCAGTGCCATTGCCCAGGACGCAGACCAGAACTATGACTACGCCAGCAACAGTGTCATCCTGCACCTGGATGTGGGTGATGAAGTCTTTATCAAGCTGGATGGGGGGAAGGTGCATGGCGGGAACACCAACAAGTACAGCACTTTCTCTGGCTTCATTATCTACCCAGACTGAGCCAGGCCCCACCCTCCACACCCCTCCCTTGCCCTTCATCTTAGCTTCCCTCCTCACCCACTTTCAGTCAGCCCCATCCAAGGCATCAACCCACCCTTTGAAAGCCTGGCAGTGGGGACAGACCCGCCTGCTTCTGGAGGTGGCCTTAATTGGCAGATTCTTGGTGCTCTGGGGTATAAGGGGATGGGAGTGGAGGAGGCCAGGCCAGAGAAGTAAAGCTGCTTGGGAATGACCACACACATTTGTTTGTATGGGGCCTGTGAAAGGCGGTCTGAGAAGAGTGATCATGGTCCTCTTCTTTTGTTGGGAGCTGGGGAACAGTCTCACTAGCCAGACCTGGCATTTTGGGAGGGAGAGAACAGAGATAGGAGCCCATTTAGGTGGGAGGAGAGGTTAGGACAGGAGTAGGCGCTGGTTCTCTGTCATAAAAATGCTTGCCATCCTCATTTTTCAGGCTCCAGGCCCCGCCTTGGCAGCCTTCCTGTGAACTGGAAGAACCAGTGAATTCTTTCCTAGCATTTAAAACTCATTCTGTACAGTATCCATTTCACCCCCATCGGGACTGAGCCCTGGGGCTACAGCTGCTGTTGCCTCTTCCAATAAAGTGACGTTAGCAAATATGCGTGCCTCTTAACTGGTGCACAGAGTGGGGACGGGGGCTGACCTTTATACATACTCCTTTCAAGGACTCCCACCCACTCTGCCCGAGGCAAAAGTTTAGTTCTTTCCAGCAAGCCTGCCTCTGGAGGTGGAGGGGAGTAGCCCAGGGCTTCTGCTGTAATATGGGAAGGGCAAGGGGGTGGTATCAGCTTCAGCTTCAGGAGAGTTTCCAGCCTTACACTATGGGGAGACATGAATCAGATTTACACTAACAAGAGGGTTCCAAGGATATGGGTCCGATGTTCAGCTTCCTGCCTTATGCAGGAAAGTTTTTTGTTTTTTTTTGTATGTTTTTTTTTTGTGGTACGTGCTCCTAGTGGGAACCAAACCCGGGACTCTCTGGTCCGCAGGTCGATGCTCAACCGCTGAGCCAAACTGGCCAGGGCGTGATGAAGGAAAGTTCTAAAAGGAGCTCTAGGGGATGAAGGAGTTGCTGATGGCTCCTGGAAATAACACTGTTCTCAAGAAATAAAGAGCAGGTCCCCAAAGGGAACTATGAATGCTGTCCCCCAACACACTCAGAGCTTGCTGAGCAGGTGGGGTAAACAAAAGTAGGATGACTTCCTAGCTTCAGGACAGAGCCAAGGTGAGGGAGCCTGGAGGATCCTGAGAGCCCAGGGCTGGCTCTAAGCTGGAGGACACTGCCACCAAGTGGGCAACTGGAGAGCAACAGCAGTAGCTGGCCTAGGTCAGACCAGAGGGAAACAAGACATTGAGACACTTCAGACATTTTATTAAAGGACAAAAGAGTGCCGACTCCCAATCCCATGGGATTAACTGATAATAAATAAGTGCTAAAAGGAAGAAGCAAGACAGGGCAGGAGCAGGTGGAGGTGGGTGCCTCATGTCGGAGAGTCCGGAGCAGCCGCAGAACCAATTGGAATAAAACACTGGAGAGACAGAAAGACCTTGAACTGAGCCAACCTACTAACCTTTATAAAAGAGCCAAGACTGACCCCCTGCCCTGCTTCCAACTTCCCACAGGCTTGCTGTGTGGGCAGAGCCTGACTGTGGATGGGGAGGCTCACCAGGGCATCCTGCCATTCCAAAAACATGGCCACAGGATTGGTGCAGACCCGAGAGGGGCCTGAGGGAGGGGCTCGGCTGGTGTAGAAGGCACACTCATCATCCAGGCATGCCTCGTGAAAGCAGTGAATGGCAGTCAGACAGGCTTTGAGGCGCTGCCTCAGGGCCAGGGTTCGAGGAGCCAGACTGCTGGGGCCTGAGGGTCCAAGGGCCAGAGTTCAGGGTGGGCTCTGGAGTCCTTTACTCTCACCTATACTGCCCCTTCTCAATCCCCCACCAAGAGGCAAGCCAATTAGGAGCATAGGACTGGAGACCCAGCTCCTCCCATCTTGCTGAAGGGAAGCCAGGCTGGGCAAGGTAGGTAGGAGAAAGCCTGGGATCACCTGGTACAGGGCAGGGGTCCCATTCCCAGCAAGACGAGGACCTCCGTTGTTCACAACCCCTTCCAACCAACTACTTACCTGCCTGGCCTGTTGGGGGCCTCAGAGATTGGAGTGAGTGGATAGGGGGACTGGCACAAAGTGGGCGTTGGGAGGAAAAGATCACGCTGGTGGTTGCTGGAGCCCTCTGACAGCAGAAGGGCTGTGGACTGGACTCTGTACTCCTAGGTTCTAGGGAGCAGGCCTTTGATGCCCCAGGCTCTACCCGAGCGGAGGGCTCTGGGAGTCCAGTCTGTCCCTGGGAGCAGGCCTGAAAGGGTCCAGGCTCTACTGGAGGGCAGGCCTCAGATACCTCAGGCTGATTCTGGGTGGTAGGCTCTGGTATCTCAGGCTCCCTCCTACAGCAGGACTCTGGAGGCACTTGCTCTGCTGTAGGGCAGGGCTGAGCTACCTCAGGCTCTGCTCCAGGGCAGAGTTGTGGTTCCCCACACTCCTCTGGAAAGCAGGGCTTTGGCAGTCCAGAGTGCTGTGACAGTTCAGGAAGGTGGAAAGCCCCAGAATTATGCTCTGGGGCATTCAGAGTTCCTCCATTAATGGGGGCACATTTGCTCTCTGCCAGCCCCTCTACTTCCTGTTGCAAAAGCTGCTGCAGGATACTGATGCGCTGTGGGTGGGACAGAATACCCCAGTGTGATGTCAAGATGTGGGTTCAAGTGTCTATGTACGCTGTCCTATTCCCATACTCCCTTCTCCTCCCATTTCTCCCTTCCCCAGCCTGTCTCTGCCCACCAGGCATCAAAGCTGTTGTCCATACAGACCCACCTGCATCTTCAGCTCCTGGAGGTTGGGGGTTCTGCTAGGGTGGGGTCTGTGAAGAGTTGCCACAGGTGGTTTCCCAGGCCCCTCCTGCAACCTTTTACAACTTTCCTGATCAAATAACCGAACTGCAATCTGCTCCTGCCACATGGGAAGAGAGGGACCTCAATGTGAGGAAGTCTATCTGGGACAGGAAGACCAGTCTGAGTCCCAATCTCATGAAAAAGGGAACAGGTCCCTAACTGAAACGCCCTAGACTGAGATTAGGAGGGACAGCAGAGAAACAGGGAGAGTTGGAGAGTTAGGTAACTTTTCCAGAAAACCCACCTGCCTCAAACTCCTGGACCTCAGGCCAACAGGACAGATTGAGGGATTTCAGCATGGGAAGGCTTTGGGCACTTACCCAGGGCAGGGCAGGCTCTTCAGAGCAAGACTGAGGAGACAGGCCACTCAAACATCGGGCCTGGGACAGAAATGAGATGTCATAACTCTTCGTATACCCATCCATGCCCTTCCTATGCCAGCTACCTCCCCTGCCCTCTCTTACCTGCTGAGTTCTGGGGGCCGATGGGATGGGTGTGAACTGGGTTTTGGGGCGAATGGCAAGACGCCGCAACACTGAATATGAGGTCTGGGAAGAAATGGTGCTGGCTGAGGAGTGAAAAAACCTAGGCCTACCAGGGATCCCACTTAGACTGTTCTGCCCTTAATGAGCCTCTAGAAGCTGTGAATACAAACCAAAGCTGAGGAGGCAGGGGAGGGAACACGCTGAGCCAATCCAAAGGGGGATGGATGGGGGTTGGATGGTAGTAGCAAATGGCCAGAGGAGGGCATTAGGTGGCAGTCACGGTTGTCCTATAGAGAGGAACAAGGCATAAGAGTGATCCCTCCTTCCTTGCCTTCCTAGGTCTTGTTTTCACTACAGTAGCCAGTGTGATTTTTTTGATACCTAATCAAATCATGTCACTCCCCTGTTCATTCCCTTTCCCCATGGCTTTCCACCCATACCAAGTAAAATCCTAGGTCTTACACTGGTTTGTAAATCTTTACTCAGCCTCATCCTGTCATTGCTCTAAACTTACTTCCTGTCTTTCTCCTTACTCACTTCAGTCCTGCTGGCATCTCCTTTTTGCTGATACTTAAACAACTCAGGCATATTCCCTCCTCAGGGTCTTTGCATCTGAAGTTCTCCTGGCATGTTCTTCTCCCAGCTATCTGGATGGCTTACTCCCTCAGCCGCTTCTGGTCTTCACTTAAATGTCATCTCCTCAGTAAGATCCCCTGACCAATCTATTTGAAACTGAATACCACCTCCCCACTTCCACTTCCCCTTCAGTGCCTTATTATTATTTTTTTTTTTACAAAGAACTTATCACCATCTGACATACTATATATTTTACAGTGTGTTTACTTTTTTGGCTCTCTCTCTAGAATATGACCTTATTTGCAACTGTATATCTAGAACCTAGAACAGTGCTTAACACAGTAGCTGCTCAATAAATACAGTAGCTGTTCAATAAATTCTGTGGAGTGAATGAATGAATGCTTTGGCTAACAAGTGTCAGATCTCTCAGCACTGATCTGATGGTGATACAAAAATATACCAGACTGTGACCTCTTGCCTCCAGGCTCCAGACACTTGTAAACAGAGGCCAGTTCCACTCTGGAGAGGGCATGGGCCCATCAGGAGCAAATCCAGATCTAATGAACATCTGAAACCCAGGACTACCTCGGTTTCAGGGCTCCACCCACCATCCTCAGTGCTGGCTGCCGCTGGGGAATTTCCCCAAGCATCTCCCCACCCCACCACATTCCCTACCCAGGAGGGTCCCATCTCACCTTCATGTGGGTTAGCTCCCGGGTTTGTCCTAACGGAACCCACTGGGCCAGACTGACGGGGCCCCTTCCTCCTTCATCTGAGTGAGTGACAACTTTACGTTCTCCTTTCAGGAGAGAGGAAGCTAGGAGGAGATAGGACATTTGCTATAGTATCTGGAACACTCACCAAAGTTTGGCACAGGGTTTTACAACCTCTTAAGAGAATATGTCAGTTTGATAGCCCCCACTTGCCCCAACAGGGGTGGGGATCCATCCAGTATCCCCTTGGAGCCCAGAATTATCTCAATAGTCACTTATTAATCTGAACACACTGAGTGGGCTCAGGGTGTGCTGAAGGTTCCTAGGGACTGAGGAAAAAATAGTGAGTGGAAGGCAATTCTTGTAGGAAATGGCAAGGAGAGGGTAGGAATGGGGACCATATCCTTTGATGAAAGTGCAACTGGGCTAAGCTCTGGCCTATCAAGAAGGCCTCTTCCTCTTCATCTCCTTCTGATCTGTCCTTTCCCCCTTCCTCCCAGCCTGTTGAGTTTTTTCCTCTTGATCCCCACTGCAAACAGCCTACCTGTCCCTGTTCTGGCCCCATGGCCAGACAGACTCACCAGGCTGGACTGGGGTCTCCAGGAGCAATCCTGAGGTCTGGATCACTGAAGTCCTGATGACAATAAGGGCAGCAGCTAGCAGTCTAGTTGATACAGCAGCTAGAGTATCAGGTATGAGCTTGGCACTGTGCTAACTGCTTTACAAACATCACCTCATTTAAATCTCACACCCTCTAATGATGACACAAACATTATCCTCATTTGACAGATTGAATAAATTGAAGCATGGAGATTAAGGCAAGCTTGCACAACTAGTAAGTTTGCTAAGAGTCAGGAATCAAATCCAGATTCCATTTATTGCCACAGTCTGTGCTCTAGCCACTAAAGAGATAGCACCTCTCATTTTTGTGCTCTTCCGCCCCCACAACCTGAAGAAACTGATATCCTATTGAAACCTGGCTAGCAAGGCCTGAATCCTATTTCAAGGGCTCACATGGCTCACAGATTTCCCCCCTTTGGTAGAAGACCCCAGCTTTGAGGGACCCCTGTATGGGACATTGGATCATTCTTTACCAAATGATCCCCTCCTTCTCACCGGCTGCTGCTGCCACCTGTCTCTCTTTTTAGCTCCTGGAAGCTGGGGCGAGTGGAGGGGCAAAAGGAAGGTCTTAAAGGTGGAATCTGAACCATAAAAGCAAAAGAAAAAAGTAGAGTCAGAGGCGGGCCCAAAACCTTCAGGCCTCACCACCAACCTCATCTACCTCCACAGAACCCCTTTGGCTCATCACGAGGTACCTTCTCTCCCAAGGCCCACCTCTGTCCCTGGAAGAAGTTTCCAGAAGCACTGAGTATCAGCTCCCCCAAGGTCACTCACCACAGCTCTCTGTTTGCACAGGGTCTGGCTGCGGGGTCCTGGTCCCTCCAGCCTTGAAAAGCAAGAAGCCCTGGCAGGGTCCAGTCGGTTTTGAGGGGTTCTGGGAGCCAAATAAGTAGAGGCCCGAGCACCCTGGGACCCCAAAAAGAGGCTGTCAGCTTAGGATTCCCTCCTCAGTCCACCCCAGATTGATCTCATCATATCCTGTCTCATTACCTGGCCCCTCCGAATGGTGCCTCCCTGGCTCCCTCGAATCAGTACTCTCTGAGCCAGACTGGGCTGGCGCCCCAGGCGACAGCTCTTCACCCCCTCACCTGACAGGATGGTAGCTAGGGCCTCAGGGTCAGCCACAAACTCTGTAGCCCCTGGAATCTCTGCAAAGGAAGAAAAGGAAAGGTGAGAGAGAAAGCTGAGGAGACAGGTATCCTAGCATAGTTACCTTAAGGTGCAACATGAGCCAGAGACTCATATAACAGGACTCAACTCACCAAATGTTCACAGAACTTTATGTAAGACACTATTCTAGGCCCTAGGACCCAGGGATAAGTAAGACAAAGCTCCATCCTTAAAAAGCTATCATCAAACTATAGAGAGGTAACAGACTCAAGCCAAAGTATGGACATGCACCCTGGCTGAGTAGCTCAGTTGGTTAGAAAGTCATCCAGATACACCAAGGTTGCAAGTTCTATCTCCAGTCAGGGCACAGACAAGAATCAACCAATGAATACATAAATAAGTGGAACAACAAATCAATGCTTCTCTCTCTCTCTCTCTTCCCCTTCTCTCTCTCTAAAAATAAATAAAACAGCCCGGCTGGTGTGGCTCAGTGGATAGAGCTTTGTCCCATGGACTGAGAGGTACTGATTCCATTACCCGGTCAGGGCACACGCCAGGGTTTCGGGCTTGATCCCCAGTAGGGGCCATGCAGGAGGCAGCTGATAGATATTTCTCTTTCACATTGATGTTTCTATCTCTCCCTCCCTTCCTCACTCTCTCTAAAAAATCAATGAAAACACTGTAAAAACAAAAACAAAAAAACAAAACAAAGTATGGGCATGTTATAAAAGAGTATATAGGCCAGCCAGTGTGGCTTACTGGTTGAGCACTGACCCATGCACCAAGAGGTCATAGGTTCAATTCCCAGTCAGGGCACATGCTCAGGTTGTGGGTCCAATCCCCAGTGGAGGGCATGAAGGAGGCGGCCAATCGATGTTCTCTCTCATCGATGTTTCTATCTCTCTTCCTTTCCCTTCCTTTCTCTCTAAAGTAAATAAAGCAAAAAAATTTTAAAAACATTTTTTAAAAAGAGTATAGCAAAGTACTAGAACACAAAGCAACTGATTGTGACTGGAGAGCTGGAAAAAGCTTTAGAAGAGAACATTTTGTTGAAGGAAGGAGAGGGCTTCTAAGAAAGCTTTCCAGGAGCAGACCAGGAAGGACTCTTATAGTCAGCAAGAAACTGGAGGAGTGCAAAGCCCCCAAACTCCACTATCCCTATCTCATTCTCCCTATCAGCCAAGGAGACTGTGTTTTAGGCCTCCAACAAGTACCTGTCTGGGGAGGGGGCCCAGGCCCCACATTTTGTCCCCTAGGGCTAGGCCTGAGCTCTTCCAAGGGGTTCCGAAGCAGAGTGCTTCCCACCAATCTCTCTGGTTTCTCTGTTTGATGTGTGGCTTTTGGCCTGGGGCCTGCTGAGTCAACAAGGGGATGTTGAATACTGAACTTCTGCTCCAATCTCTGGGGGAGAGGAGGATAAAAAAAATTCAGTGTTGGGGTGCATTGCTGGTGTGTGCTGCCTTTTTATAGCTATATTTTCACCACCAAGCCCCTCTTACCTTTGGGTCTTGGTTCTCCTGGTCCAGGGTGCAAGGCTTGACTGTGGGGACAGGCGGGCGTCTCTTAGAGCTTACCGGAATCTTGCTAGGGGTGGGTGATACACCCCGAAGGAGAGGATCCTTCTTGGTTTGGAAGGTGGTCATGGCGGCTACAATTGAGACGGGGAAGGCAAGATCAAAGATCAAAGGTCCACCAGTTTGGGGCACTGGTGCGGTCCTCACATCCCTGGTACTTCCACCTAAGCTCAAAACCATGCGCCCAGAAGACCCGGCGCCTGCAAGGCCGGCTCTTCTGGGTGCCACTTTCAGACACCCAGAGCCTACTCTTTTGCTCCATGACCCCGAGCTGCCTCTCCTCCCTAAGAATCTTCACATCCCTCATTCCCTCCAATATCCCCGTGCCGCACCTTCCCCCCGAACCCCTCAAGGTCCACCCCCGCACTTCGCTTTTTCCCTGACTCTTCTCCTGAGGCAGCTACTTCTCCAGTTTGTAAAATACGCCAAGCTCCTGATTGGCTCATCCGCGGCGCGTGACGCCTAACTCAGCCTTCCAATCCGCGGGCTTCGTGGGCGGGGCCAAAAATAGGACTAGTTGATGAACCACTTTATAGCCAGGAAAAAACTGACGCGGCTCAATCAGCCAATCCTAGAGCGGAGCGCGGGGTGGAAGGCGAGGAAAGAGGAAGGAGGAGGCCGTTCTGAGGCTGGAAAGGCGTGGCGCCCCAAGTCTGGGCAATAACGGGTGCCGTCGTACTCTCGCGAGGTTTCGGCACTGGCGAGGGAAGGACCATTCTGGCTGTTTTGTGGGAAGGGTTGGTAGTCATGGTTGGGGTTACCTCTGTAGGCCGCTGGTTGGAGGGTCCCCGACCGGACGCTAATCCGAGTGCGGTGTCAAGCTTTGGGGACGTCATTCCGGACACTTAAAGAAAACATGTCCTCAGAGAGGCCTGCCTTGAACTCCTTTACTCATAACTCACCCTAATCTAAATAGTTTAGATTAGGTTATATGCTCTCAAAGAACAGTGTTTGTTTCCTTGCAGCGGCTCTCAACCTGTGGGTCGTGATCCCTTTGGGGGTGAAGGACCCTTTCACAGGGGTCGCCTACGACGGTGGGAAAACATATTTCCCAGGGTCTCAGGAACCGACACACCGCTCCTCCATCCGTCTTCAGGCGGTCCGCCCACATACAGATACGCCCACAAACAACATGAGGGACTGTATTAAAGGGTTGCGGCATTAGGAAGGCTGAGAACCACAGTGCAAGTTATCTTTACAAACTTGGAAACTTGAATTTGTCAATATACATAAGGTAGATCTTTGGACTAATTCCCACTTATCAAATTTGTAAGAGAAATTGAGTGATTTAGCATGAGTGGTATACCTTTTTAATAACTAAAATATGTATGCCTGTTTCTCAGGGTACCAGCTTCACAGAATCAAGGTACAAGGGAGAATGATTTTATATCAGAAAAGTCTTTAAAACAGCCAATGCTAAGAATATCTGCCATGCCTATCAGAGAATCAAACCTGTTCACTACACAGTAGTCAGAGTGACTTGTTTCTGTTTGCCTTTGCTGGACCTTTCCTACAGAAATTTGAGTTAATCTTCTTCATCAGGTTATAACATAGTGTTTTCATCAATGTACAAGCCACCTCTCTTATTTTATTCTATCACCCCCTTTAATTCTCTGTCTGCTCTCCTATTCTTCTCTCCCATAGACACCAGTCAAATGTAATTGATATATGTTCCTAACTATGCATGTATGCTTGAGTTTCCTATTACTGTTATAAAAAATTTCCACGAATTTAGTGGCTTTTAAAAACAATACAGATATATTCTCTATTAGATCTAGAGTTCAGAAATCTAGAATCAAGTATTGGCAGGGCTCCATTCCTTCTAGAGGATTCAAGGGAGAGTCTGTTTGCTTGCCTTTTCTAGCTTCTAGAGGCTGCCAGCACTCCTCAGTTTGTGGCCCCTTCTTCCCTCTTTATAACTCTGTCATCATGATACCACTGTAATTAATTTAACCTAGTAATGAATAACAGAAAAGGAGCAAAGGGAAGGCCAAAAGTAGGCATGCCCAGTAAAGTCTAGGAAAAATAGGGAAGGTACTTGCCTGTCAGTCACACCTGGAAACAGGTCATTGGCTAGAATAGGCTGGCCACTGCAAGTACTGAAAGATTTAAGATATTTAATCTCCTAAACAAAGGAGCTCTCTCTCTCTTGCTGTTTTACTTGCTTACACTCAACTCCTGGCTTGCCAGGCTCTCAGTCTCCTGCATTTGCCCACATGACCCACAGCCATGTGGACCCCACACACAATGGACTAATGGATTGCAACTAGCTGATACTAAACCAGACCGAACTCCACCATGGAACAGAAACTTTGGACGCTAGCTTTGCTTCTAACTCTACTGAATCTCGAGTTGCACGTCTGGAACTGGATTAAGGGAAATAGGAATTTGGAAAAACAGAGATGTAATTCCATGCAAGTAAATATTACTCAGGTGAATGTCAGAAAATTCTTTTTCTCAAGATATCGTAAGGACCCCACTCCCACTAGCAATGGAGAAAGACCGTCCACGCATTTCTCCAATAACAATCACATTTACTACTTAGTCACTTCTACCTCCCTTTTATTTTATTTTATTTTAATTTATTTATTTTTATTAATTAATTTTTGTTACAGATTATTCTCCTTTTTCCCCCACTGATGCCCCCCTCCCCCTCCCTCTCTGCCCTGTCCCCAGTTTGTTGTTCATGTCCACTGTTCATGCGTACATGCATATAAGTTCTGTAGTTTATCTCTCCCCCACCACCCCCTCTTCTGGGGATTGTCAGTCTGTACCCCACTTCCACATCTCTGGGACTACCCCATTCCTCAGACTGTTATGTTCATTATATTCCACAAATAAGTGAGATCATATGATACTTGTCTTTCTCTGTTTGGCTTGTTTCACTTAGGATGATACTTTCCAGGTCCCTCCATGTAGTCTCAAAGGATAAGAGATCTTTCTTACAGCTGCGTAGTACTCCATTGTGTATACGTACCACTGCTTTTTTATCCATTCGTCTACTGATGGACACTTGGGCTGTTTCCAGATCTTAGCTATTGTAAATAGTGCTGCTACAAACATGGGGGTACATATATTCTTTCTGATTGGTGTTTCATGCTTCTTAGGGTATATTCCTAGAAGTGGGATCACTGGATCAAATGGAAGTTCAATTTTTAATTTTTTGAGATAACACCATATTGTTTTCCATAGTGGCTGCACCAGTTTGCATTCCCACAAGCAGTGTACCAGAGTCTCCTTTTCTCCACACTCTCACCAACACTTGTTGTTTGATGATTTGTTGATGGCGGATGGCGGCCATTCTGACAGGTGTGAGGTGATACCTCTTGTTGTTTTAATTTGCATCTCTCTGATGATTAGTGATGATGAGCATTTCTTCATATGTCTCTTAGCCATTTGTATGTCCTGTTTGGAGAGGTGTCTATTTAGTTCCTCTGCCCATTTTTTTTTTTTTATCATCCTCCTCACCCGAGGACATTTTTCCATTTTTTGTTCAGGTAGAGTGGGAGTGAGAGAGAGGAACAGAGAGAGAGAGAAACATCAATGTGACAGGGACACATCGAGTGGTTGCCACCCGCGCAACCAACCAGGGCCGGGGACAAACTGCAACCGAGGTACGTGCCCTTAGTGGGAACTGAACCCGGGTCTTTCCGGACCGCAGGCCGATGCTCTAACCGCTGAGCAAAGCTGGCCTGCCCTCTGCCCATTTTTTAATTGGGTTCTTTGTCTTCCTTTTGTGGAGTTGTATGAACACTCTCTATATATTGGAAATTAACCCCTTATCTGATATACCATTGGCAATTATGCTCTCCCATACAGTGGGTAGCCTTTTTGTTTTGATGATTGTATCTTTCGCTGTGCAGAAGCTTTTGAGTTTGATGTAGTCCCATGTGTTCATTTTCTCCTTTGTTTCTATTGCCTTAGGTGATGTATCAGTGAAAATTCTGCTGCATATGATGTCTGAAATGTTGTTGCCTACAGTTTCTTCTAGAATTTTTATGGATTCATGAGTCACATTTCAGTCTTTTATCCATTTTGAGTTTATTCTTGTGTAGGGTGTAAGTTGATGGTCTAGTTTCATTTTTCTGCATGTAGCTGTCCAATTTTCCCAGCACCATTTATTAAAGAGGCTGTCCTTACTACACTGTATGCTCTTGCCACCTTTGTCAAATATTAATTGAGCATATTTCCTTGGGTCCATTTCTGGGTTCTCTGTTCGTTCCACTGGTCTATATGCCTGTTCTTGTGCCAGTACCAGGCTGTTTTGATTACGGTGGCTTTGTAGTATAACCTGAAATCTGGTAATGTGATCCCTCCAACTTTGTTCTTCCTTTTCAAGATTGCTGTGGCTATTCGAGGTCTTTTTTGGTTCCATATGAACTTTTGAAGTACTTGTTCTAATTCTGTGAAGTATGCCATTTCTACCTCCCTTTTATAAAGACCCTGTAATTATATCAGGTCAACCATATAATCCAGAATAATATTCCCATCTCAAGTTACTGAACTTAATTGCACCCACAAAATCTCTTTTGCCATATTCAAGGGATTCACAGATTCAGGGATTAAGATGCGGACATCTTTGGTAGGGGGCATTATTCAGCCTACTACAAGTTGTTTAGTGTGTGTGTTTTAAATTTGCATAAATGGCATTGCCACTTGATTCTCTTTTTACTTTTTTTTTTTCCAGTCAACTCCGTGTCTAGGATCCATCCTTATTGCTATTTATAATCTAGTTCATTGCTTATGACAGCTTTCTACTGGTCCTGCATAGGATTTCATAGTAGGCATCCATCATATTTTACTTATCCATTTCACACTTCTACAAGCAATTCTAAAGAATTATCATCTTCTTACCTGGTCTCCTTTGAACCCATCCAAAAATTTCCCTGGGATATTTACCATATATAGAGTGGAATTCCCAGGGTCGTAAGGCTTATGCACACTTCAGTAAGTACTGCTAGATCATTTTTCAGAATGTATCTGTTGGCACTCTTAATATTAATTGAAAGTTTCATATCACTTCTATCATCTCCAACACTTGATATTATACAACTTTCTAACTTCTACGGTTCTAATGGGTATTAAGTAGACTCTTAGTTATTTTGAGTTGCATTTCTCTGATTATTAGTTACGTTTGAGTGTTACTTCATATTCTTGTTAGGTAGTAGAGCTTCATCCTCTTTGAAATGCCTACTCACATGCTTTTTATATTTTTTCCAATTGGCTTTCCTGTCTTTATTCTTGTGGATTTATAAGATTTCACTGTATATTCATTTTTTAACCTCATGTCCACTTTAGACACTGCAAAT